AGTTGGATAGATGGATCGCATGTCCATAATATGCTGATTGTGTTTGTCAGGGCTGTGGATGTTAGCAAACCTCAAGTCCCTATTCTCTTGTCTATGGAAGCAAATGTTGGGACTCAGTGGTACGGCTAGCTGTGAGAATTCACTTTACTTTAGAGGAAAGTTACCTGCCAAATATTCGAAAACGAAAGACGGGAGCAGTATCTTTTCGGATCGCCTGTATTCTATACACTTTTCTGTGTAGAAATGTTAGTGTGGACGTCTTCGCTTACTGTCATGACTTTATACGCAGAATGGAGCAACCTGGATGTTATCCACCATGATATTCTGTGAAGTTGAGTGCGCAAATGAAAGAGGTATTTGGAAGGTGTTCACCGATATGCTACTGGCCTCCTAGTTCATTCAGACTGATAATTGCGATATTTATCCACGTGTCTTGATTGCGATATCAAACGTGACTTTCTCACATTTGAGGAGAATATTTATTGTTGATCTACAGACTATTTGCAAGAGGAAGGCAGAAGAAGCATGGCTTCGTACAGTCTTCCAAAATTCATTACAATTTTATCATTAAGTTGTTTCCATCTTGCAAATATCAGCATCAACACTGACTCGAGTGAGAATGACATGCAAAATTAGGCATTACAAAGCAAAAACGTAAAATTTGTCTACAAAAGAACCAAATGGCTGTTTTAGGTAAATTGAACTGATATCGACTGTTACCTTTGTCATTCTTACCTATTCCCATCACAAAAGACCTGCGCTAGCCAATAGCGTCAGTGGTAGGATAAATAAAGTTGTGTTTGGTGACCCCGTGTTTCATAAACCGGGCTTACTTGGCTGTTTTTACATGTTACAAAAGCACAGGCTTCCCTCCATTCATCTGTTTGCTTTAATTACGACTCTTTTCCAGCTCTGTCCTAAATAGCACAGATAAACTGCTTTGAGATTTAACTTGCAGAATTGTTAGATTCGTTGCCTTTGAAAACCTCCACTTTTGAAATCTAAGCACAAAATATCGAGTGCAAGTGTTCCTTTGTCAATACCGTTGACTTTTCTGTGTCATAATGCCTAATTTTGCATTTCAGTCGTGCTCGCGTCACTGTTGGTGCTGGCGTTGTCAAAGAAGTAACAGCTTCGTGGAGAAGTGCAGTGAATTTTGCAATGCTGCTTGGAACCACGCTTCAACATAGTTCCCGCCGTGTTTTGGTTTCAGTCCTACATTCACAATTTTTGTTTTGCTGAGTAAAGGACTATCGCATTCCTACGTTATTTGGGATTTCTAGGAGCACTTTCATTCAAGACTCATACCTGGTGAAATAACTCAGCATGTGTGAAGGCGACTTCCAATTTCACTTGAATATTTGTGCGACAAATGCACGACCACCCATTGTTAGCGGAGGGAGATGAGGTGTTGCCCTCCTTTATGTCGTGACCTTAACGCAAGCGGAGTGCACTTTTGAGCAGGTCAAGCGCAGATAAATTTTAGCTCATTGTCTTAGATAAAAAAACCTTCAATGAAGACAAATTACTGTCTTTTGAACAATTGCTCCATGGGGATGTTGTGAAAAGCAGATGCAATGAGTTGTTACTAAAGACAATGGAGAAGGAATAATGGCCTTTTCAAGACTTTAAAATGAGGCAAGACGGTAATCTGTGTGTGGATTAAAAGGCTATTTGACAATTCAAATTTCAGGGAACACTGCCTTTATTTGGAGACCACCTGTAGCAGGAGTGTTTCGTCGATAAATTCAAAGGAATACCAGTAGGCACTCACAATGTTGGCATTTGTTATGGCATGACATGAACTATTTTTTGCTTGGTCTGGGAACTCAGCACGTATCTCTCCATCAGGGCATGCTAGAATTCGTCCGAAGATGTTCGCGTTCAGATCCTGCAGGAAATGATTATCTAATAAAGCCCATGATCTTCCCAGTTGGCATCAGCTCGTCTTTCTACCCTAAAATTTGTAACCTTAAATTTAACTTTTATTTTTAGTAATATTT